GTGTAGCGAGTGATCTGTGAGCCTTGAACTATTGAACTTCTGCCCTGAGCGTTCTTCTTCCTTTCGGTTTTGTTCCAGGCTTCAACTGCTTTAATAGTTTTTTCCCCTACATGTTTACAAAGCCTAAAATACTGACAGCACAAAAAAAAAACTTATGGGATCATTATCCCTTTGGGCTTAGGATCCCGAAATATGGTCATGACTCATAAGTTCCATGTTTTGAGGCACCTTACCAGAGAAGGGTTGGAGTAGAAAAGGTTCATCATAACGAACTAGTGTTTGGTGTGCTTTCATTGAGACAGGCTGAGGCACAAAAGGGTAAGCCTACATTGGATTAAGGTGTGTTGTGTAAGAAACCATTCAGAATTCTGGAGGTTAAGTGGAACTGCGAGGGACGAAATAACTACGGTGGTGCAGGCAGCCGCAAGCTCTCTGCTATTTGGGATACTGGGGGACCTCGCCTAATAAGGATAGCTTCTTTCAACAATCACCTAATGCATCATATTTTGGGACGGCCTCTCCCTTTAGTAATTTACTCAATTCCACTTAAAAGTTCAGCAGATAAAAGAGCTTGCGATTCAATTCATTCCGATACATACACTCACTTCTCAACAAAAATCAACAGAATATACATGATCAAATATCAAATGCTTTGTGTATAAAAACAGCCATATATTTTGGGTATAAAGCCTTAAATCAATAACTGTTTCCTTATAACTGCTCAAAGTTTGTTACTTTGCTTACTTTGAGAGAATCCGAAGCCTTCTTGAGCTCAATTTCCAGCTCCATCATCGTCGTAGCCTTACTTGACCTAATCACAGCCGCCAAGGCACGAATGGCCGCCACGGCTTCGGCCAAATCAGGCTGTTTCCGCCAGTTATTGAACTCATCGATCACGCCAAACGGTTTATCAGTATCCAACCCCCTGACATCACTTCCCGAAGTAGCATTGCCATCTGGATTCTGGTCGATAGCAGCCTGAGCCTGGGCGAGCCAGTCACTGGTGACAACGCCATGGTGCGCCGCCCTAGTCTGATAGTAAGCAGAAATCGTCGGGTTAGGGTTGGGGTTCTGAGGGGCATCGGCCATGGAAGTCCGGGTAGTGCCAGTGCCACCAGGAGGGGAGGTTGAAAATGCGTCGGGTGCCAAAGCGGCGTCGTTTTGCAGCCTGTTGTCGAGAATAAAAGATGCTGATCTATACCACATCTATACGTGGAGGTACGAGCGAGACTAGTCACTTTCTCAGGTAATTTATTCCCCGGAGAGAAAAGGAGGAAAGAGGAAGCAAGTTTGCCGCAAAAGTATTGAAGGAATCTGATGCCTTATGAAATGGAAGATCGGGGTTCTGCAATCGCAAATCACTGTGTTTAAGAAAGAAAGAGAGAGGGAAGATAATGGTGTTAAACCGGGCGATAAGCAACTGTCAAGAAGCGTCTCCCGCAAAAACGACCTCGTTTCCAGTTTTCCCCGTTTCAAGGCTGCTAATAATAATCATGATTATTAAAATTTTTAAAAAAGGAAGGGGTATCAAAGGAGAAAGGACAGGGCTTTGCTATGGCTTAATTGTTTTGCCATGCCGTTGGGTGGATTTGTATTTGTAATGACAAATGCTTATTTTATTTGTGTTGATTGATCTTTAACTGTGATTTTAGGTTTAAATCAGCTCAAAGTTGCTCAGCATAGCAAGTGTTATGTTTAAGGTAACTACTTTTCAATTTATTTTATAAGCATATCTCCGGCTGATTGCAAGGTTAACTGAAATTCCACTGAATGGGTTGTTAGAAAATTAATGTGATTTATATAAACAGTTACTGTGAATTTATATTCTATATCGGATTTTTTTATGCAAATATTGATAATTAATATATATATATCATCAGTTTCTTTTTTTTTTTTGGGTGGGCACACCATACAGGTATCTTTTTATTTGGACAATTTTGTCATTATTTAATACTCCTCCGGTCCTTAATATAAGACCCATTTAACTAATTTGATTAGATTAAGGAAGTTAGATAAATTGGTTAATTATAAGAAAAGTGACACATTTTTCTTAAAACACCATAATCATCTTTCTTAATATCCCATCTCCCTCTTCTATTTGATTATGGTTGAGGGAGTATCCATAGGGGTAATTTAGAGAAAAATGATAAATATGGGAAATGGGTCTTATATTTAGGACCAAAACCAACTCAATAATTGGGTCATATATTAAGAATCGGAGGAATATTAAATATGGGCACTTCTTTTATAGAGGATTTGAATCTTAGATTATCATGTTATGGAAGATTAGTTTCTTCTACTAGACCCAACCCCTGTTGATAGTTTCTTTTTTTGTTCTTTGTAAGAAAAAATTGTAGGTAAGTTGTACTAAAACTTATGACTTTGTGGATTATGAACTACTTTCTTAGTTAATTCTCGTTGGCTTGTGGTTTTAAAAAAGTTTAAAAAAAGGCCGTTAGAAACAGTCTGCTTTCCTTCCTTAGTCCCACTAATGAAGGTTTGTCGGGCTTAGGCCTAGGCTTCTGCATTCACCGAGAACATCTTTTGGGCCCCTGGTTCCTTTGCTTTTTGGGCTTAAATTCTTGGGCTTCAGTCAATTGCTAGAAACAAAAACGTTATGTTTTTTTTCCCCGCTTTTAGTTCTTTCTATTTTCAAGGGAGAAGGGCGAGATCAAAGAGCTCCAAAAAGAAAATGCTTTTTTATTTCAACCCTCTCTATTAGCCTAGAATGAGCATGTGATCATCACATTTGAAATACAAAAGTTATATGGCAATGGTCATGTTTAAAAAAAAAAAAAGATTTATCGTTGTGATTGCTTTCATAAATTAATAATACAAAAATATTATTTTATATTTTTAATTTAAATTAAAAATATCAAAATAATAAAAATTCATATTTAAATTCATATATAGACGATGTACATATGGCTAGAAAAAATTGAAACAAAGGTGATAATGTGGCGGAATAATTGATGATTTTTTTATGGAAGATTTTTCCCTCAAAATAATTATAATATGCTTGATGATTCTCCAGCTGGCATGCTGTAAGAACCACAAGCGATGTCTGATTGATCAATGCCATAAAGAAAGGAAGAAGAAAAAATAAAATAAGAGCGATGAGGTGGGAAGATATATACTTGTACCAGAACAAGTGAACGACCTGAAATTGGTAAGGTTTTTAAGCAAACAATAATAATAATGAAGTCCCTCTCCAAATCACCGACTTCACGAGATTGCGTACTTTCCATTTTCAGCGTCCTCTTCAACCTCCACCTCACAGCATCGGAAAATCGAAGTTGATCACAAAAAAGAAAAAAAGGCCAACAAAAAAAATTGGCAGAAACATACAGCTGGAAATGATTGTTTTTCCTATCCAATAATGCTGTTGCTTCTCTTATACCAACCCAAGGCCAACTGTTGCCTTCTCTGTGGAACTTCCCTACCTGCTTCATTACTTTTTCGTGGTCACCTAAAGGTCTTTGAGTGGAAATAAAATTCCCTTCACATACTTATTTCATATTATCTCCGATTTTAATTATAAGAGTTAGTTGATTAATTTAAAAATATTAAAAAAAATAAATTAAGTTAGTTATTTATAATAAATAGGTGTCATCTTTCCTAAAATATCCTTACTAATCAAGTGTGTTGGCTAGAATCATTATTATTATTAGAAGGACTATTTTGAAAAAAATACATAAATATTAGAGAAAAAGTGGATTGTAATCTTATATTTAGGATTAAAATAGAAATCAAATAAAGTCTTATATTAATGATCAGAGGTAGTATTCTGTAAATTACGATAAAAAAGTTATTACTTAAACCTATTACTTAAGCCATTCTAAACAAGCATTCATCTCCATATTACTAAACGCGTTCAAGAAAGATTTATTTTGAAGATTTTTTAGTTTACACATTTAAAATTAAAAAAGAATGTGTCTACATTTAAATGCTGTACCATTCATCCCAATACTTGATGAAAATAATTTATTAAATTCCAACAATTGGGATCATAGAGCTGAATTGCCATCCGAAAATGATGCCTAAGTATATTGTGAACATTATTATATTTTGACATTTTAGAGATTAATAATTAATTATAAAAAGTAAAAAGAGGAAGTAGGAGATTACTATTTTGAGTTATGCAAGGGGTAAAAGAGAAACCGAGCCTTGTTCCCCAAGTTAGCGACTGTGATGGGGTCCAAAATCAGAAACATCATTTCACAAGGAAGGAAAAACCTTAAAAAGCACTTCTTCTATTGGACACACCCCAAAAAAATTAATTTACTTTAATATATCAATAAATAATTTTTTTAAAAAATGAGGTCGGATCCTTTCCTCGATAATACCGAAGCCGGTTTTCCGAATGTCTGTGGTCAACCCCGGCTGAGTTGAACCGCGGTTTGCGCCGTGCACGCGCTTTTGTTAATTGGATAATGTTGAACGAACGGCGACTTTTCTTCAATCGGTGATTTAAAAAAAAAAAAAAAAGTCCACTTGGCTAATGTTTACACCCCATATAACGGCGCCTCCAGGCTCCAGCTTTGTCACCTCATTTGTGTAATCGTTTATTATTTACTATTTTAATTTAAATATTTCATTCAATAAAATATTTATATTGAATGCTTTATCAACATAATTGGTAATTATTTTGGAGAAATCATGAGTGGTATAATGAGGGATTCTTCTTTCCCTTTTTAAGTATCTTAAAGAAAACAAAAGTGTCAGGTTGATGTTTTAGTTGTAAATGAAAAATATAAATGATGATTTAAAAATATTAATCATCTTGAAGCATGATTAATATTGATATAACAAAAATAATCTTCTTAATTTTAAATTTAAATCTTTCGGATGTGTCATGCAGACACGTTCCCCGGGTCACGATCTGGGTCACATTAAAAAAAAAAGGCGAAAACCATGAAGACTACTAGCTTCGAAAACGACAGGATAAATGAAGACCAAAAATTGTGGCCCGGTTCTCATGATCAAAACTTGTGCCGGGGACAATTTCAGCTTCAGAGGTTTTATAATTCTTAGTCTAAATCTCTATTTGCTTGATTCTTCTGCATATAAATTGAGGACGGATGACTTGGAAGGAAGTGTTTCGAGAACGATCATGATCCAAAATTGAAGTTCACAATGATTTATTCTGAAACGTCTCGTTTCTCGCTCGCTGTTCTGTTCTTTGATTTCACCTGCAGCTTACCCTCTGCCCCCCTGGTTCCTGTGTCTCTGTTTGGGCTTTCTCCTGTACAGGGTCTGTGTTAAGTAGGCGACACCAATATTGCTTTAGGCCCATTTAAACTGAAGAAGGTCTTCTATATCAATTTATCGGGAATCTAATCATCATCCTGTAGGACTCTGCTTGAAGTATCTGTTTGATCACCTGGGCATCAGGAGTGAGTTTGATTGGTAAAGTTCTTGACAAGAATTCTTACGCATTGATGAAGAAGAGATTTCATGCAGATTTGAGCTTTTAACTTATATTCAGTGATTTTGCATCAATCGTTTAATTTGCTGTGGTTTTTCTGATAGCAATAGTCTAGCCGGTGTCTATGTTTTATGGTGTTGATAAATTTGTGATCAGAGTTGGTTGGGCTCAAAGAGGAGTAGGATTTCGTTTACTGAGGTGACTGTTGGTTTTTCAAAGTGTTGAATAGGTGAAGAAGTCTCATTTTGGACCTAGAGTAAGCCAGAAACTGCTCCAACGACACTGGGGATTGTCTGTGGATCTGGAAAATTGAATTTTGGATTCATTGGGATTTCCTTTGAAGTTTTGGTGGCTGTTACTTAATATCTTCGGGATTGAATTCATTCCTTTTCAGTTTCTTGGTTTTGACTGTGGTTGAATCTTACAGCCAAAACATGGCGTCAAAGGAATAGGCAGTAGTAAATGGGCTTGTCATGATGAACAGAGAAGCTGGATTATTTGTCAATGGATGCTCCAGAGAAGACTTTCTCTGAACTTATCAGTATCATCAGGTCTTGGAATCCCTGGAAACCTGAGCCAGATGAGGTGTCAAAGGTTTTTTGGATGCCTGACCAGAGTTGTACGGTGTGTTATCAGTGTGATTCGCCGTTCAACTTAATTAATCGCAGACATCATTGTCGTCTTTGTGGACGCATTTTCTGTGCCAAATGCACAACAAACTCAGTTCCAGCTCCATCTAGTTGCCAAAGGAATACTTGGGAAGAGCAGGAAAAGGTTCGGGTTTGCAATTATTGTTACGAACAATGGGAGCAGGGCACGGTTGCTTCTGAGAAAGAGATTCAGGTTTCTAATCAGGATAACAGTGCTTCACTGTCAACTTCAAGCTCAACCAGCATCAATTCGTTTGGAACTGCTAATAACAGTACAGCCACTTTTTGCTCCATTCCTTATTCCACTGATCCTTATCAACAAACACAGCAGAGTTCTGATCTGATCCTGCATCAATCATCCATGACAGGTGAAGGCATTGACAAGGAATGTTTATCAGCACTGAGAAGGTGCAATGATCATGAAGCAGACTTGGGGAATGCATCACATAAGCAATATGGATTCTCAATGTTACGGTATATTAATCTTTCTTAGGTTCACTGACACAGATAATTTTCATGTGATCACTTATCTTCATCTTTCTCCGCACAGACATACTTCATGTCATTTGTGTTTGCATATATAATTGATCATTCCTTCTGTCCATGAAAAATTCAAAGACAGCTTTATAACTCTGTGTGTGTGTATAATAATTACATATTAGTTGCATAGGCTGGTGACATAAGGATATACTCGTGAGATTGGGTTAGACTTAAGACTCATCAAGGGAGAAAGGATCTGAAGATGTAGATGGAAATCTCTGATAGATTTCTCAGTAATATATCTATTACATGCATTCCTCATCAACATGCAACTTTGTATTTAAGAACTATTCATTCCATGAGAGGTACTGCTTTGGAAAACGAGGAAAACATGCATTAATTTATTTAGATTTTCATGGATTATTTACTTTCGTCTTACCTCAGGACTGATGATGAGGAGGAAGAGTACAGTGTTTACAAATCAGATTCTGAAATGGGGCATTATCCTCATTTGAATGGCTACTATAATCAAGTTGAATTAAATGGAATAAGCAACATGGATGGCTCACAAAACCTGCATTCTGAAGGAGACAATTGCAACAATTCAACACACCAAAGTTTTGATGCACAGGCTTTGGAAGAATACCCAGCTATTGGAAAACATGAAGATGAACATGATATTGGTGATGAAAATGAAGCACCTTCATCTTTTTATGTTTCCGAGGATGTTGGTGTTGAACCTGTAGATTTTGAAAATAATGGGCTTCTCTGGCTCCCTCCGGAGCCAGAAACTGAAGAAGATGATCAAGAAGCTAGTTTATTTTATGATGATGATGATGGTGATGGTGATGGTGATGCAAATGCTGCAGGAGAGTGGGGGTACTTACGTTCTTCAAGTAGTTTTGGAAGTGGAGAGTCTCGCCACAGGGATAGGTTAAGTGAAGAGCACAAGAAAGCCTTGAAGAATGTTGTTGGTGGGCATTTTAGGGCTTTGATAGCTCAGCTGTTACAGGTTGAGAACCTACCTGTTGAAGACAATCACAAAAATAGTTGGTTGGAGATTGTTACATCTCTGTCTTGGGAGGCTGCTTCTCTACTTAAACCAGATACGAGCCAAAGTGGTGGAATGGATCCTGGTGGATATGTGAAAGTGAAATGCATAGCAAGTGGGAGTCCCTGCGAAAGGTAAATGCTCCAATCCATATGATTATTCATGTTTAATGCCATTTGCTGATGTTTCATATCCTTCGAAATCAATTCATAAGCTGGTTGTCATCTGGTGGTGGGTTTCAAGGTATCAAAAGATGGAAACCATCCCAAGGTCCCGTGCATGTAGATAAGCAGGCACCCACTGTTCTTTATCCACAGATTTCTTGTTTCTTGTGTGCTTTCCTTGTGAGTGTCGTTGTAGTTTGGGTTGACTGTAACTCTTCCCTTCTGCCTTTTTTTTTGTGGCCTTTTATTATGTTTTTCACATCATCATTCATGAATGTTGCTATATTTTGAGGGGGAAATGAATCATGGGAGACAGACATAACTTGCAAAATAATAGTCAGGTATCTTGATCAGGTACTAAGAAATTAAAATTGAAAAAATCAGATGACTCAAAACTTATGATCTGTATAGTCTGTGGCTGGATATGCATCTGGCATTGTAAAACACATTGAGGAAGTGTGACGAGATCAAACAGAAACTGTCTATTGAATCTGAAGCCACAAAGTCTTCACTGTTGTGCACTGTCATGTATCTTTCTCTTTCTTTATTTTGCAATGTGGGATTACGTAATTAATAACAACTTCCATGTGCATGGTAATCAAGTTGTTTCTTTCTGTTGCTGAATCCTCACAAAAGACTAACTTGAAATTTAATTTTATCTCTTCCGATTTCAGGGCCTGCTTATTTAAGGTCAAAAAAGTGATTTCAATTAAGCTAAACATGAAACAACCATCACCTTATTAGCTTGAAAAAGATATGTTCTCAGCTTATTATACTTGGATTGGATTTTTAAAATAATCACTTTCGTAGAAGTGCTTTTTTATGTCCTTTATTGTCTAAAGATTTTATGAGATGAGCAAAACAACCATCACTCTTTTAAATAATTTCAAAATCAGTTTTTAAGGTTAAACAAACATGCCCATACTGTTGATCACTGTTTCTTATCTAAGTTATATTATAACTTGTAATAGATTATTAGACTATACCATGGATCAAAAGGAACTTTCACTTGTTTCAGTCTCATTTATCTTTTTACCTTATTGGTTGAATTTTATAATCTTCCAGTGTTGTGATTAAAGGAGTTGTTTGTAAGAAAAATGTGGCTCATCGGCGTATGACATCCAAAGTAGACAGAGCTCGCTTGTTGATCCTTGGAGGAGCTCTTGAGTACCAGCGTGTTACCAACCTTTTATCCAGTGTAGATACACTTTTGCAGCAGGTTGTGATAGTTCACCATTTTTTTAGTTTAGTCTGCCACTTGTTTGGCAGTGCACAGACTGATATATATAGAACTTTACACATATTTGAGTTTATGTTGACGGGTTTTCCCTTGTGTTATCTAGGAAATGGACCATCTCAAGATGGCAGTGGCCAAAATAGCTGCACACGATCCTGATGTACTTCTGGTAGAGAAATCAGTTTCTCGATATGCACAAGAATATCTTCTTGGGAAAAACATATCACTAGTTCTCAATGTCAAGAGGCCGCTTTTGGAGCGTATAGCACGCTGTGCAGGTGCTCAAATAGCGCCTTCAATTGATCATCTCTCTTCACCAAAGTTGGGCTACTGTGAGAAGTTTCATGTGGAAAAGATTCTTGAAGACCATGGTAGTGCTAGTCAGGACAGGAAGAAAACTGTCAAGACATTGATGTTTTTTGAAGGCTGTCCAAAACCATTGGGTTGCACAGTAAGTCCTAAATATGGATAATTGCAATGTGATATTACAAACAAGAGAATTTGTGGAACACCAAACATAACTCAGATCATTCTTGTGTCAATATAGATATAGCTTTCATGCTGTCTGTTTTCTTTTGACCGATTTATGCAATAAAATATCATCTTACCTGTTTTGCTATTGTTTAGATGTCATTTCTTATGGCCCAGCAGTAGTCTGGATTCTTGTAGGAAATGTTCGCTTACATCCTTAATTTCTCCTCTGGCAGATTTTACTAAGAGGGGCCGATAAAGATGAATTGAAGAAGGTAAAGCATGTGGTTCAGTATGGATTTTTTGCTGCTTACCATTTGGCTCTGGAAACCTCTTTTCTTGCTGACGAAGGAGCCTCCCTGCCAGAACTTCCATTGAAAAGTCCAATAACTGTGGCCCTTCCAGATAGTCCTCCATGCATAGATGGGTCCATCTCAACAGTGCCTGGCTTCACCATTTCTGGCCATGGAAAGTCTCAGGAGCCGAGACCTAACACTGAACACCAGAAAGGTGGTAGAGTTGCTGATTTAGCCTCATTGGTCTGCAGAACAGAACCCCTTTTTTCTAGTGACCATTATCAATCAGAGCAAATTGGTTCAAGTATTAGTCACCCAATTGCTTCTTACTCTTCTGCCACTATTTCAGGGAATACAATTTCAGATTGTTATGGCAAAACCCTTCTTTCTTGTAAAGAAAGAAATGAAGTGGATTACAAAATATCTCTAGTGCCTGAAACTTCTGTGATGAGCAACTGCTTTTCAGTCATGGATAATCATACTAATGAAAATGGCTGTACGATTTTGGAGAAACTAGAAAATGATGTAGTATCAGGCACTCCTCAAAATGGCCACAGAGAAGTCTGCAATAGCCAACTAAGTGATTCAGAGCTTCTATCTCCAGAAGATGTTCAGAACCATTCCAAGGGGCAAGGATTCATGAATGAAGAGCCAATACCTCTAAAAGAAGAGTTCTCTTCTTTTTCTGACCATCAAAGCATTTTAGTGTCCGTGTCCTCCCGGTGTGTATGGAAGGGAACTGAATGTGAGAAGTCCCATCTATTTCGAATTAAATATTATGGCAACTTTGATAAACCCTTGGGTCGTTTTCTGCGGGATCATTTATTTGATCAGGTTGGTTTTTAATCAATGAATAATTGTGAATGTCTTTGTTCTTAGATTTAATGCAATCATTCTGAAATGTGATAAACTGCATTGTTACTCAGAGCTATAGATGCAGTTCTTGTGAAATGCCTTCAGAAGCACATGTCCAATGCTATACTCATCGTCAGGGGACCCTCACCATATCAGTTAAAAAAATACCCGAAATTCTGCTACCCGGTGAAAGAGAGGGAAAGATCTGGATGTGGCACCGATGCTTGCGGTGTCCAAGAGTCAATGGTTATCCTCCTGCTACACATAGAATAATAATGTCTGATGCTGCTTGGGGTTTATCATTTGGGAAATTTCTGGAGCTCAGTTTCTCGAACCATGCTGCAGCAAGCAGGGTGGCAAGCTGTGGCCACTCTCTACACAGAGATAGTCTTCGTTTTTATGGGTGATTATCATCTTTTTGCTTTCTCATATATGAAGTATACCAATATCTGGCCCAAGTTAGAGCTTTTTAAACATGTGTAAAGAAAGACTAAGTCTGTGGCTTTTGTGACCAATGTTTAAACTGAAAATATCGCTTTTGGTTAATCCTGATTGAAAGTTTTAATAGATGCAGTCTTTGGTAACCTTTGAGAATTCCGTCTAGGTTTAACACATCTTTATGAAAACAACTCATTCTTGTCTTATTATGGCAATTCAAAAGTAAAATTTTTCTGTAGCTTAAGTGTATTTCAAATGGTGAGATTCATTAGTTCATTAAACTCATACTTTTCATTATCTCTCTGTGATGTGATTTTTTATGTGCAGATTTGGGAATATGGTTGCTTGTTTTCGGTATGCATCAATTGACCTTCATTCTATATACCTTCCCCCACACCAACTGGTTTTTGACAATGGGATTCAGGAGTGGATTCAGAAAGAAACAGATGAGGTTTCAATATTAACTGCCTTACATCTTAAAATTATTTGTGATAGGCGACCTAATTTCTGCTTGTAACAGGTGATTAACCGGGCAGAGCTTTTATTTTCTGAAGTGCTTAATGCTCTTAGTCAAATTGGAGAAAAAAGATCTAGTTCAGTACCTGTTAGTAGTGGCCTTAAAACATCGGAATATAGACGTCAAGTTGCTGAACTCGAAGGGATGTTGCAAAAAGAGAAAGCAGAGTTTGAGGTGAGGCCTCCAGTTATAAATATGTGGATTTGAAATCTTGTCCGGTATCTTGTCCAATGGTGAACTTTATGATCACTTGTTTGTGTAAATGATGGAACCGCGGCAAATGCTCCAGAAATTTATATGAAAGACGCCAGAACTAACAGAATTAAAAAAGCAAAAGAAGCTATCAACCAGTATGGTAAAATACTGTGGCAAAATCACACAATTAATGATAGTTCTGAGCCTTGAAGATGCGAGCAATTTTTCAAGAAAACCATCTCAAAAGTTGTCCTTCCTACCCATAACAGAATTGCCCAACCCATAACAACCTTCTCACAGCCTTATTGCCTACATCATCTGCTTAGTCCTTCTAAAATATTCCCTAGCCACTGGTGCCTTCAGCATATAGAGCAAATTGGAACGGCTTACTCTCTTCTACGAACGAGTTGGTAAAAATATATTAAACTCCTACAGAAAATAAAAGAAAGACGATATATAAAACCTTTTTGGGAATTATAAGTTGTCACATCCCTGGTATCTCTTAATATGTTTCCCTCTGTCATTATTTTCTTGTCCTTTCTTTGGTTGCACATGTTAACTGAAACCTCTTGTCATTTTGGAATTTATCTTACTATGCTGTCCGTATTTTTTGTCATCTACCGTAGCATTTCAAATTTACAGAAGTTTTATTTAATTTTTTTTTAATAACCGGAGCAGTATATAAATACCATATATTTGACAGTCTGTATTTATTCTTCTTTTTTTTTTTTTTTTTGCATTTTCTGTTCTCATAGGAGGAACTTCAAAAATTTTTGAACCACGAAAAGGGAAAGGACCAACCGGGGATTGACATTCTTGAAATCTATCGTTTAAGGAGACAGTTACTTTTCCAGTCTTTTGTGTGGGACCACCGCCTTGACCATGCAGCCAAATTAGTTAATACCAGCAAGCAAAATGGTTCAAGCAGTCCGGTTTCAGAGGACAAGAAGAGGAACATTACTGAAAACCAGATTAATGATGCCCTTATGCCAGAAAGAAGCGACAATGGTAATGACTCTATATTTTTGGGTTTAAAGCCTAATGGTAACCCTGACCTGGGTAGAGCAGTTGATAACAACATTTCCCAATCTGATGCATTTCATGAAGAATTTGATGCTGCCAAAAGTTCTAATTATGAGAGAGAGGGCCAACCTTATCGTTCAATCAGTGATTCTATAAATGCTCAATCAGACCATTCAGACCTTGGCTTAGGAGTTTTCAGAACCCTCTCTGATGGGCAGCTTCTTAGCATGCCCAACATATCAGATACCCTTGACGCAAAATGGACAGGAGAAAACCACTTACCATCTGGATTAACAAATGACATTACTTCTGTTACTCCTGATACAACTGCAGCAGATTCTTTGATTACGAGTAGAAAGAGAGAAGCATCCAGTCTAGAGGATCATGCAGATGACCAGAGGGAGTCTAAAAGTATGTATTGTGCCTCTAAGAGCCTTGATAATGTGGAAGATTCTTTAAGCTGGTTAGCAATTCCCTTTCTAAACTTATACCCTTCATTTGACAAGAACTTTTTAGGCAGTGCACAGAAGTTTGATACTCTGGATGAGCATCCTGTTTATGTATCGTCATCCTTCTGGAAACTGGAACTCCAACGTGGGGCAAGGCTGCTTCTGCCCATTGGTGTTAATGACACTGTAATTCCAGTATATGATGATGAACCCACAAGTATAATATCTTATGCCTTAATGTCACGGGACTATCATGTCCTATTGATTGATGATGAAAAAAGACCAAAAGATGGGGGTGACTCCAAGGCATCATCATATTTTTCTGATTTAAGCAACTTCCAAGCATTTCATCCTGCTGATGATTCAACTTTTCAATTTCTGAGAAGTTTGGCATTAACAGATGACATGAAAACATCCATGCCTGGGTCTCGTAATGCATCCACATTGGATCCTTTGTTATATACGAAGTCCATGCATGTCAAAGTTTCCTTTGGAGAAGATGGTCCCCTTGGTAAAGTGAAACATACAGTGACTTGTTACTATGCCAAGTGGTTTGAAGCCTTAAGAAGGGTTTGTTGCTCTTCAGAGCTGGACTATGTAAGGTCTCTGAGTCGGTGCAAGAAATGGGGAGCTCAAGGAGGAAAGAGCAATGTATTCTTCGCAAAAACTTTGGATGATCGGTTTATCATCAAACAAGTCACAAAAACAGAGCTTGAATCATTTATTAAAATTGCTCCTGAATACTTCAAATACCTTTCTGAATCAATACACTCAGGAAGCCCAACGTGTCTGGCAAAGATTCTTGGGATATACCAGGTGCTTGTCCTTAGAGCCTAAAATTTGAACCTCCTAAATGATTGTCTTTATAGGCTTATTAGTCGAATACTTGCAAGTCTAAGGTTTGAGACGCGACTTTTTTGGGCATCAAGAAGGACAAATTAGAATTAGCCTTGTTAATGACAGTAAAGGGTTAATGGCCTTCTATCTTTTCTAAAGTTTTTTAATAAAAAGTTACATCTCATGTAAGCACACCAATACAGATTATCTTTTCCTTTTCCTTTTCTTGTTTTTTTTTTAAATGCTGCGGATTGGAAGAATATGAATGAATCCTTCATATAGCAGTATGCAACAGAAACGTCATTTACTTGGTCAAAGTTTGAAGGTGATTTTGCTTGTGTAAATTATTAAGACCTAGTAGTAGAGGTTTTTTTATTATACTTATGGTTTAATGACAAGGCCATTATATACATGCATACAAAAACTGCAATTCTCTTGATAATGACCATATGATATTCTTGCTGGTTACCTCTAACAGACCTCAACCAACTTAGAGCTGATTACTATTCTTATATTATCCATTATTTCTTCGTATACGTGTCACTCAGTTTTTGTATTCCATGCCTATGCAGCACCCAGTTTTAGTATTAAGCAGTAGTTATCTCAGAAGTTAGAACCATATAACTCAACTTGTACATCCATGTTTTTTCATCTCTAGGGTAATGGATTTTGTGATAAGATTCTAACTTTGTTTCATTATTCCACACACAATGCTAATATAATGTTTATATTGTTGAAGTTGTAATAGCATTCAAGTTTCTGTACTTCGACATTGACATTTGTTAGCCTTTTTTGCCAAATGCAAACAAGGGATTATTATTGGAAAATGGGAAGGACAATGCTATAAATCATATCTTGAAGTTAATTGTTCATTGGATTGGTGCTAAATAATCCTGAATTTTGCTCCGCTTAACTACATGTGATCCTGATGACTTCATCTACTGTTGGGTTTATCTTGTAAAGGTCAAGTCAAAGCATCCTAAAGGAGGGAAAGAATCGAGGATGGACGTTCTGGTTATGGAGAATCTTCTGTTCAGGAGGAGTGTGACACGGCTCTATGATCTCAAAGGATCTGCCAGGTCTCGCTATAATCCAGATTCTAGCGGGAGTAACAAAGTTCTGCTTGACCAGAACTTGATTGAATCAATGCCAACTTCTCCTATTTTTGTGAGCAACAAGGGTAAACGGGTGTTGGAGAGAGCTGTCTGGAATGACACTGCTTTCCTTGCTGTAAGCATCAAAGCTTCATATCTCTGCTGTTCTTCCCTCTCTTTATTGTCTGTTTTCCTGTGCATGTTGCAAATGATTTTTTATCCCCATTTTTCATGTATATTTTATGTTATTCTGCAGTCAGTTGATGTAATGGATTACTCGTTACTCCTTGGGGTGGATGATGAGAAACATGAATTAGTTCTTGGAATCATAGACTACATGAGACAGTATACCTGGGACAAGCATCTTGAAACATGGGTTAAAGCTTCTGGCATACTGGGAGGATCGAAAAACTCATCTCCAACTGTGATATCACCCAAGCAATATAAGAAAAGGTTCAGGAAGGCAATGACCACTTATTTTCTCATGCTTCCAGACCAGTGGCCTCCTGCACCTAATAACTCCCAGTCTGATGCATATGAAGAGAATACACAACCCAAGAGTTCACCAAAATGATTATTTGATCAGCCTTCTTCCTCTAAATTTTTCTTCCTGTCTGGTAAATTAGATCCCCCATACCATTTTCTCTTCTCTTTTTTCCTTTTTCCCCTTAATTTTCATAGGAATTTTGTTTCTTTCATCTGTAATATTATCAGTGAAAGATTGGTGAATTACTTGTTGGAAGATAAACAAAGAAAAGGCTGTTAGAAAATAAAGGATGCTTGTCTGGGGTGAAATATTTGATGACCTCTGGATGAAACTCTGTACAAAAATTTTAGTCATGTATTTAGTATCACAATTTGTACATCATTTAAATTTGTTTGGACCATCAGTTTACGCTCTTTTCAGATCTCAATTACCAGAACTGCTTAGCTTCCAAGCCTTTAATTGGCAATTATCCTTGTATTAGACGTTGGGGCTGTGTATTTTCCTCAAATAGTTCAATTATGTCAGCAACAATAGCATTACTCTTAATTATTATGATCACATTTCTTCATTATTGATAATTAATATGTATATTACTAAACATATATTCCCATCAAAATTGGGTCACTGTACCCGTGATTAGATAAAAGAAAAGAGGGGGGGGGAATACAGTAGCCGTCCTTCATCTTCTTCACCATGAATCATCTGATTTTTGTAATCGTAAGACATCGATTATTTGGAATATTATAAAGGAGAAAAAAAAAAAAAAAAGCCTCGTAACATTTTCGCAAGGGCTACAAATTCATGAGAAGGCCCTCTGCCTTTGAGCTCAAAACTGGCCTTGAACTCATTTAAGAGAAAGGAGAAGGATAAAAAATCCGGATGGTAGGAATATTGTGGATACGTTAAAGGGCAGCACGAGTACTGCAGGAGGTAGTCTTCTCATTATGCAGATTTTAAATCTTATGAGACTGCACTGGAGCCTAGAGTTGAAGGCTATACCAAGGGAGCAAAGTCAGCTTGCGGATGCACTTGCAAAGGAGGGTCTTTCTAGATCTTCTTTTTTTAATTATTGTCCACCAGATTTACTGGTTTTAGTGGCTAGAGAAAGAGTGGGATCTGATTCCCCCATGACCTGAGTTTATTTGTTTGGGCAATTTTTTGCCCTCTCTTTTACCCCAAAAAAAGAAAAAGAAAATCACATGACACATCCCTGAACAGGAGACCAATTATTCTCTTTTTAGTTAGAAGTCCTTTGGCGTTAAGGTTTCACTTCAAAGTAAGATTTAAACTGATTATATACCTCGGTCTCACTGATCGTGCTATCATGTTTCCAGAATTTGATTTCCCCACAAAACCATGAAGTGAGTAGATTCCTACCTGTTTCGGGTCTTTTTGTCCTTAGCTAAAAAAAAACGGGAAGATCATTGTTAACGTCACAAACGTTAACTCGTTTATTTGAAGATACTTTTGTCTTCCATATATTTACCCCGGCATTCGCAGCTCCTTCTGTTTTTGGCAAACTTTTTTTGTTCTTAAAATCAGTGCTATTTGGATATAAAGGAGGAAAAACGAGTCAGACAAATTTATTGCCTTGTGATTAGGAAGTCATCGTCATCATCTTTATCTTTCTCCATCAGATAACCTAGAATACCAGCATACAACAGATTGAAAGAGAAAAGCATTCCTGTACAACTTTACAAGGGAAAAAAAAGAACACTCTACTTCAGGTAAAAAAAAAAAAAAAACCCACTTCACAACTACTTCTTGATTCACCATCAACAGCCTCTTAAGCATTTTTGATACATGATGCTGCTGAGCAGGGGGGAGTTAGGATTCAGTTATGAGCGGGCTAAGATTAAAAAGCACATATAGTACAAAGTTTGCGTGAATTTTGAAGGGCCAGAAATGCATAATATTTGTATATTACTGAGAAAAAAAATTAGAACTTGCTCCCTCCGCCATGTTACTGTGAGACCTTTGGCTTTGATATTTGACAAAGTAAGTTGAGAGTGATCATCAGCAGAATGAGTTAAAACCATTGCTGTTTAGGTCTTCTTGCAGCAAAACACCTTCACCTGCTGGATGATTCTCTCCTTCCCCTTTCACAATCTTTATCCAGTTTTGTTGAAGAATTTCTCTGATCTCAGCATCGCTGAATCCCCGGCAAGGGGCAAAAAAGGAAAAAAGAAAAAGAAAAAAAGATCTCCTTAGACAGACGAGTTTAGTTATATGATAATTCAATCAATGAATCATTTATGCTAGAATCTGAGGTACAATCAGACGGAAAATAACTCGACTTCTCGAGAGTTGTTATTCTTCACTGAATCACTTTACCTTAGAAGATGACTAGGTGGCTTTGATGTTCGTTGAAAACGAGGTCCTTCGTCGTACCCTTCACAGAATATTTCACCATTTTCGTCCTGGTAGCAAACTATGCCCTCAGATCGATTCTCATATACCTGTTACGTTGGAAACAGTCCACTTCAATAAGTAAACAGAAATTTTTATAAACTCATATTTCTGATCTCTTACATGGATTCATCTTCCCCATCTTGGATAAGAGTAAGAGAGATAGAAGAAGGATATTGACCTTGTTCTTGATGGAAGCTCTGATCCTCTGGGTAAATGATGCTTTTTTCAGGGGGACAAAGCTGCGCTTGGACTTCACATCCTTGCTTGCAATCTTTAGAAATGACCCAGATTTCTGAACTGGAATTTGAGTTGAACAAGCACAGATCATAGCCATCGTCAATATCTGATTCAACAAGAGAAAGAAGATGGAAGAGTAGAAGGAATAGAACAATTCTGGCCGAGCTCAATCTATATAGTGTACTAGTACTAAGGAATAATGATCTCACTTCAAAGTGACACGGTTTTGTTTTCTTTCTTGGGTTTGCTTAGATCATACCATAATAAATTCAATTATTGATGTCTAATCATACGTATAGATTAATCATGTAGGGCCTAACTTACTCATCCGCTACCTTCTTTGTTGTTGGCATTGAACTTAGTTTTTGGTTAATGATGCTTCACAGTGCTTCTTTCCTGTTCATTGGTTGGTCGGTCTCCTTCCCCTCATCACTTAGAAAAATGTTTCCACAGAATTTCAGTAATATATAGTTTGTTTAGACTGAGTATTTTTAGAATAATCCATAAAGTAATTTTCATACTATGGTACAAAATTTTTTGTTTGACTAATTCATCGAAAATTTATTGAGAGGGGAAAAAAAAGCTGTGTGATTGCAAATTCAAAATTTTTAGCAGAATTTTAGGTTTTCTTTTTATTATTGACTGATACGGATCCAAGTTCAGCAAGGACTTAATGAAAGAAAAGATCTTCCGACTTAATCTTTATCATCCAAGCTTGAACGTAAGATCTTATCTAAGTGGTTGTAAGGTCTTATCATTAGTTGTTAAAAACATCGATGGCTAAAAATGCTGCAAAAATCTCAGCAAAAAAATATCTTTTAAATTTTAAAATTTCAAATTAGTCTTGTTTATTACAACATAATTTTTGATCTAGAATTTGGCAATCAGAGAGGTATTTATTTTTGGGATTTTCTTAGAGGATTTTAAAATATGTCTTTCTATAAGAGCACTACATTATTTTGTCTTGTCATGCCAATAAGTTATAAATAAATTTTAATCTAATAACGTAAATATTTGATTTCATTGAAGAAAGGGAAAATTAGAGAGAAGGACCAAGAAAAGATTATATTTATTAGCACGGATCTTAAAAAGTGTAATTATTTAGGAGGACCAAATATCAATATATAAATTTTAAAAATACTAAAATGCCCCCAACGAAATCTCCTACAATTTCTCTAACCACTAACTTTACAACCTTTTTTTTCATTAATAAAAATATTTTTGCACTGTTACTCCTCCGATCCTTAATATAATACCTATTTAACTAATTTGATTAGATTAAGAAAGTTAGGTAAGTTAGTTAATTATAAGAAATGTAACACATTTTTCCTAAAACACCATAATCATATTTCTTAATACCCCATCTCCTTCTTTTACTTGATTATAGTTGAAGGAATATCTATAGGGGGTAATTTAGAGAAAATTGATAAATATGATAAATGAGTCATATATTTAGAATCAAAACCAACTCAACAATTGGGTCCTCTACTAAGGACCGAAGGAGTATTTTACTTTTATATCCATATTTTTATGATCTCAGTTTTCAGGTCTAATAACAATAAATAATTAAATAATGTTCAAATAAAATACATTTCGCCGAAACTATAACCTCACTCCATCCATGCTCAATTGATTGTAAACCCCCAGAAAAATTATAAACCAAATAATTCTGAGTGTGAAGTTTAAAAATTGAAATAACAACAAAAAATATTAATAAATCACATAGATCATGACACTAATGTTATCTAACACATTAACTTGAGAAATCTCAAAATTAATCTCCAAATATTATCTAGGTGCAATTAGACTCGCTGCATTAGTTGGTGAAGTCTATACAATATTACTATCATTATTAATGATCTTATAATGGCACAAACCATGAATTAACAACGGTTGGTATACGGCAATGAAAAGTATTAGTGGTATGAATCCATGTTGAGGAATGAAAAGAATGAGAGAGAAATATACCAGTATGAGATATTAAAAATTTAATAATTTAATTAAATCAAGGATTTAATTTAAAATTCAAAAGTAGTTGTTAGAGGAAAGATAGGAGATTTGGTTAAGGGTAATTTCGTATTTCTAAAATTATATTTTAATATTTAGTCCTCCTAAATAATTACACTTTTTTAGATCCTTCCCAATAAATATTACTTTTGGCAGGTCCTTCTCCCTGATTTTCCCGTTAAGAAATTACTCCTCCCCAAAAAAAAGGTGTACGTGCGTGCACGTTATGGAAGATACCAATATTTAATTATTACTCCCCCGGTCCTAAATATAAGACTTTTATATACACTAGTATAAGGGTCTTACATTTAGGATCCGGAGGAGTACATTATCTATAGGAAATTAAATTGCAAAATGTCACATGCTTGACGTACAATAATACTCCGAGGTCATCGCGGCAAAAAAAAGAAGAGGGAAGAATCAAATTGGAAATAAGTAAAACAGAATTTGTAAACCTAACACAATAATTGCATCTGAAACTGCATTAAAATAATTTTGATGATCAGAGAACGATTATATATTCTGTGTTTTCCATCCCAAGGAAGAGAACACAAACAAAAGAATCTAATATTCTTCTGTGCATCTTCTCGATTCACAGATTTAAAATATAAGTGGCTGCATAGATAAGCATCAAAAGAATTTTCACAATTATATAGCAATGGGTGAATTTAATATATAGATATGGTTGGGTTAAAGCAGACAGAAGCGGAGCCATTGGTTTTTGTTGCTTTCATGATGTTATAATTTTATTTTATTTTTCACTCAGTTTCACTTTATTCTATGATTATTTTTTTCCTTTCTTTAAGGACCCCAATTGCCACTTGCCTAGGCCTCATTGTGCAAGGATGAGTTGGCGTAAGGATAGGAAATAAATAATGTCAAGGACTTCTATTTTGTGATAAGGGAATATAAATATTTTCTTTGCCACTTATCAATGACGCATGGGCTTTCTTAAAGTCAAATTTACCATCTGTCCAAAGGATAGCCCTTAATTTCCAGCAATGACTTCACTAAATTATAATTAAAAAAGAGTCAAATCAATGTGATTTTCCTAACACGGAAACAAATTTATAAAATAAATCACAATACTCAGATATTTTAGTCATATTTTCCAATAAATGACGCAACCAGGCAAGAACTAATAATGATTACTCCTAATATTGAGTTCTCATTGCTAGTAGCCTGTAATCTAATAGTATGAAAACTTATTTATAAATGAGAGCGTATGAGGCGCTATTGTCACTAAATATGAGCATATCTTCTTACAAAAATTTAAATATTAGTTCGTTATGTTATGGGAGACTAACTCCTTCCTAGACTTGGTTACACTTGTAATTTCAATTGTTTGCTTCTTTAAATTTTAAAAAATGCTTTTTGGGCCCTCACAGTTGTGGTTTTTGTTGCATTTATTGGGCCACGTTTTTGGTTACTTGGTCAATTGTGAGTTCATTTTAGGCCTCACCCAAAGTTAGCGATCTGGGTTTGATCATGTGGGTGAGCAGTATATGGGATTATTCCTGAAGCCCAAGTGTCTTCTGGACCCCAGAGATAGATAGACCCAAGAGGACTACCGATAATTAAGTAAACTTTATTGGCTGAGGACTACCAATAATTAAATTGGAAGCAGGTGGTTTTGTTTTTGATGGAGAGCCATATGCACACTTTAAGCATCTAATTTGCAAAGTTCACTGTTCTAAGCCCCATTTGGATTCACCATTAAAAACTCTTATAATTATATTTTATGTCAGTCGAGACAAAACTCCTCTCATATACTTTGTATTTTATTAATCATACTTAAAAAGCTACTTATAATTTTGCAAATGACATGGATTGGGGTCGCTCAGCTCTTTATTAAGGTCTCAAAGTTCCCTCGTCTTTTATCTCATGAATCATGATGATGTAGCCGTTTTGTCATCTCTGGTCTTCCTTAAAATATAAACGGCAGTGTCACAATCCCAGTGAGTGGGAAAAAATCCCCCGTTTTTGGCCTCCTCTTAATTCTCCCCACGTGACTCTGCCCATTTTTAATCTAAAAGATTTGGATTTGTTGTTGTATTTTATGTAATAAAAAATTAAAAGAAAAATCATTACGAGTCCTTTAAAAAAAATAATTATTAAAGAAAACTCAATAATAAATAAACAGCACGAAGTTATTACTTTTTGCACTAAAATTTGTCGTAGGCTCCTTAGATGTTGTTCCCTTATTTTGAAATTTTTTTGTAATTGCATTCCTTCTTTGAAACCTTATAATAATTAATCTAAATTTAAATAAATTTGAAGTTATTTGCTCAGCCCTACACCATTCTTTGATATTAAGTTAATGATGGTAAAAGGAGTTCACTTACTTGAGTGGGATAGGAATGTTGTTTTTGTTAACTTGAAGGTTCATTCTTTTACAGCTTCATTTGTAATGTTAAGGATAATTAACTCTAATCTTTGCTTTGAGTTGAGGAGAATTTTGCGAAAGCATTCTTTACTTTTACTTGAATTATTAATAAAGATGTATTGTGACCTGAATTAGTATTTATCTTACCATCATTTCTCTTCTTGTTTCTTTTTTTTTGAGTAATTTTTATTAGGATCATCGTGTATGATGATAATTTAATTACCATAGATCAACTTTTACCGAGTTAAAGCATTAAGGGTATTTATTACTCTTCTGGTCCTTAATACAAGACCCATTTAACTAATTTGATTATATTAAAAAAGTTAGGTAAGTTAGTTAATTATAAGAAATGTGACACATTTTTCCTAAAACACTATAATCATATTTCTTAATACCTCATCTCCCTCTTTTACCTGATTATGATTAAGGAAGTATCTATAAAAGTAATTTAGAGAAAACTGATAAATATAAGAAATGAGTCTTATATTAAAGATCAAAACCAACTCGAATCGGAAGAGTACTAGATTTCAAGGAATATATTAGACAGATTAGATAGAAGAGTAGATTAGATTAGAAGATTAATATAATGCAGGCCAATAATTTAATTTAATTAATCAATAAATGACACATTGGCAGAAATTTTAAAAAAAAAAAAACAGAACAGTGAATGCCATAAATAGTATCAGTACCATGATAAAATTTCCCTTTGTGACGTAGCCTCTGAGACTGCATATAATAAAGCAAGCCTGGCTCTCTACACTCTACACTCTCCCACTTCTTCTTCTTCAGATCGCTCTGCCATGAATCCCTCCCGCCATGAATGCTTTCAAGCTTTGTCTTTCTCAGCTTCTTCACAAGGGGTGACCAAGAAAGATCCCACATTTCATTCCTTTAACTTCAATTGTTTAGTCCTATTGAAGTTTAATCTTAGCTTGTGTTTCTTTTCTGATTCAGGAATCGCCATTGCCAGGGAATACCAGCTTGTTTGTGAAAAATAAAGACAACCCGTTTGCAGAAGCAATCCCTGACCCACTCTGTAAGCTTCATCTGCGAGAAACCTCGGAGTTCGTGAAGTCGTTTCCCACGTCACACAAAAACAGAGGTTTTCTCGGGGTTTCGTCTCAGAATAAAACAAGAGTAGAAGCTCCTTCAACCCCAGGAAGACCCATATTTAGCTTCAGAAAGAGCAACCTCTCTTCGAAATGGGAAGACGCAGAGAAATGGGTCATTGGCAGCCATGGCTCTCCTGCTCGTACGACCAAGATATTATCAACATCATCATCATCATCTTCGGCGTTCTCCAAGATTAGAACATCATGTGACAATGTCTTCAAGGTACGCAACACTGCTGATGATTTCTCGGAGCAACCGAGGGCCACACAGGAAAAGGTGTTCAGAGCTGTCTCAAGCCTTCAAATTTCTCCTGCAACTTTGGACCACCATGAGGTCCCTTCCCCAACAGACATGATGCTACAAGGTAGGATCCCCTGTTTTCTTGTTATCATTATTCTCAATCTACGTTTTCATGTAACTTAATTTTCCTACTTTATGCTTCTCATAAATGTTTTGCTTTTTTATTCGTTATTTCACCATAAGGAGTCCAACTTTGCAAGTATTGTCTTCCTTTTTCTCATAATAAACTTTACCCATTTATAGAGAGAGGCTTGTTTCAGAGTGTTTTGCTCACCTGGACTCGTTTCCTCTTGGAGTTCATTTGAAGTTGAATAGTAAAACTGCATTAATTTGAAGATTCATTTCATGTTTGATCAAATACATGAAATACAGATAAGTTTACAGAGAAGAAAGGGTCAAATTTTCCCAATTTCAGAGACAGTGGGACAGAGATGACTCCTCTAGGAAGCTCCACAACTTCAAGGTGTCACACACCATTCAAGAGCTCATCTCCAGCTCGCCATAACACTCCTGCAAATAGGTCTGCTCCATACAGCAACGTTAGCTGCTGTACTAGCGACCTTATTCAGTTAGAGGAGTGTCATTTTGCCAAGCTGCAACTAGGAACAAAGTTCGATTCCAATTGGAGCTCAAGGGAGGAAGAGGAAGAAGAAGCTTCAAAGAGCCTGAGACATGACGCTTACCAAACCCAGAAAGCTGATTCAGATGCCATCGCTGCTGCTTGGCAAGAAAATGAGAAGACTAAATCTTGTCTGAGGTAATTAAATCTTGAAGTAATTAGTGGTTTAAGATGCAATTAATTAGTTAAAACCACATTAGTGAAATAGCAACGCGTCGGCAAAACAAAAAACAAAAAGAAATAAACCATGTTAGGTGGACAATGATGGTTCGGCATCTCATCCCTTAAGGAAGTGGTTGGGGATTCAATCCTCAACTCTTGTGAATAGAAAGCACCCCCTGGCCAGTTCCCTACCGCTTCATGCACCGACTGTAGGAACGAGGGATTAGTCTCATGGCTACCGGCTGTGGGAGGAATCCAAATAAAAAACCAAAAAAAAGAATAGCAACACATTGCGTGCGTGATATGTAAACATGATAATTTCCTAAGACTAAAGCTATGTAAACTCATCAATTTACCAAAGTGTCAGTTTAATTTCTTTTGAAAGGTCTCTGCTTTTTAATTTCGCCTGATATGTATGGTGAGGGCTTGTGATTTGAAAGTGCAGGTATCAGATTGAAGAAGCGAAAATCCGAGCTTGGACAAACCTCCAAAGTGCTAAAGCAGAAGCCCAATTGAAAAAGCTTGAGGTGCCCTTCATTTCTTTTCCCAATGATCATGGAAGGATTAAGTTTCATATTTTAGTTGAATCCCTTAAATTTGCTCTGAGGGAAGTTATGAATGTGGTGGTTGGTGGCATACAGGTGAAAATACAAAAGATGAGATGGAAGCAGGAAGAGAAAGTGATGAAGAGAATGGAAGTGGTTAAGAGGAAAGCAGAAGAATGGAGAGAGGCAGCAAGAGAGCAGCACATGGTGGAGAAGGCAAATGAAGAATCTCAAAAGCCGCTGAAGAATCCATTTTCAAGTTATGCTACTTCTTGTGGTTGTTTTCCATACACTAGCACAAATAATACTTAAATATCCTCGTAAGCTTGCCCAATAATATCCTTATTATGTAGTGCTAGTCTCCAATCAAAGGAATGAGAACCTACATATACCATAATACCAATTTGGATGGTTTCATGTTTAAGGCTATTCAGAGTTCAGATTCAGATGTCATATCAGAAAGACACATCACACAAAGTTCAAGAAGAGCTGTCCCAATTTTTCAGGCTCACGCGAGTTTGCGTCAACACAACATGGTGAACCCCGACGGCCGACAATGCAGATTATGAGCAGAGAGAACAAAAGCGAAGCTGAAGTTTAGCTGTAACTTCAACTGCTTTTGGCAATCCAGAATCTTTCTGTTGGGTGCTGCAGAGGACCAGACTTGATTTCTGTGTCGTGTTTCTGAAATCTTACCCTGATTTATTCCACTTTCAAGCTCATCACTGCACGCCTTTCCAAATGCATGCTAGTCTCATTTACTGCACAAGATTTTATTTCAGAAATCCAAATATATCTCCCCGTGTCTCTGATGAATCTGATATATCCTGACCATTCTTCCATGAAAATAGTACTGTTGAACTTTGGTCCCACTCCCCTCAAGTTTTCGGGCGAGGAGGTGATCACATAATTGGTTTTGTTTAATTATTATATTATATAATTGGGATATCCTCATTTGATACTATTTATAAGGTACTTTCAACATATCTCGTACATGTTAAGAAAAACTTTAAATTACATTAACTTTCTATTAAAATATAATAATTTTTTAATTTTACCCCATTTAATATATACACCTTTAAAAAAATAATTATCTACAACTTAATAAATAAAAAAACAAGAGAATACATTTAATAAAATAGCTTATAACTAGGACAAAAGAAAACCTTTCTTTACCTTATTTTATAAGATCAAAGGAGTAAAACATAGTGGAAATGAATGCTATCAGCCTTGGAGAACATGTACTTTCTTCTCGTAAATATTTTACTCCTCTGGTCCTTATTATAAGACCCAATTTGACTTTTTATTTGGTCCTAATTATAAGACCCAATCCATTTTATCTCTTATATTTATGCATTTTTTTCCAAGATAATCCTTCTAATAATGATAGTTTTAGCCAATATACTTAATTAGCAAGGATATTTTAGGAAAAACAACACTTATTTATTATAAATAACTAACTTAACTTACTTCCTTAATCTCCTCAAATAAGTCAATTGGGTCTTATAATTAGAACCGGAGGAGTATTTATTTAATCAAATAGTTTAATCATCTTTTATTTTTTTTGTCAAGCATTGTAAAAAGAAATGTGTTATTCAACTCGATTTTTTATTAAAATTCATTTTTAAAACATTTCTTTAAATGTCATCACACTCATTATTTAAAATTTTTAATTTACAGGAAAAAAGAAAAGAAGCCGACAATTAGATTATAAAAGAAAATCAATGATTTTAAAAATTTAAATATAAATTTTAATTAGAATTTAAAAGCTAAAGTGTTAAACTTAAGGGTAAGTTTCGAAAGTAAAAAAGGAAAGTTGATGAATATGAGATATAAAAAGAAAATAAATGACAAAAAATAAATCAATCCACACTCCTAGCCTCTGTGTGTCCACATACCAAATCATTCCTTTTCAGTTCGGTCATTCCTGGAGCTCAAAAGTTTTCAAATTCCCAGTATTTTTGTGCAATTCCATGTACTTGCAAGGAACCCTAACAGAACAAGTACCGATGGCATTGAAGCTGTAAAAGTAATTTTCAAGTGCACAATAGGCAATGAATTATTGAAGGGGGCATGCTAATCCCCACAACTATCTGCAACATCTATTTCAGCTGTTCAAGTGCGCCTAAGAATTTTTGGAACCTGTATGACTCATGCAAAGGTGTATCTTGGCTTCCATGGCTCCAGACTCATGGAAACAAGAAGCAATGGGTTAAAAGCCACCCAACAAAAGCAGTTTTTTTCCCTTCTCTTTTGAACTACTACTGATTACCACAGATAAAATTTCTATCACATCCAGAAACTCAAAGTCTATAACTGTCAAAACTCAAAAGTTGATTGGCTACCCTTATTGTAATGGAAGAAACTCAATCAGGATTCCTCAGTCGCGAAACTCATCCATGAACTTTTTGTGGAACTCCGTCAAGCCGGAAACAATTGCTGGAATCTTCTCTTCTTGAGGCAGGATTGTGCACCTAAAGTGCCAGGTCCCAGGAACCTAGCATGACAGTATCACAATCCAAAATTAAGTTAATAATTCCCAGACATACAGAAAACTTTGGTTTTTTGAATCAGTCAATAATATGATGTTGCATTAGTAAGATATATCCATATGTCATGTTCTCGAAAATTTTAGATATATCTTTTCAAATTTGAGCCATTTGCGATCTGAACCCTCCCTTGACAGTCAGGGTGTTGGATGTCACTTTACCCATTCTTAATATTTAAAGTTGAGGGAGGTTGTTCACAAATAACCTAAAGTTAAAAGCATAGTTTGTATTTTTCCAAAGTTTTTATCAAAGAATCTAATCACGAACGCTTAAGAAGCTATAGCAAAGCCCTGTCACTTCTGAGATTAACGGAAAAGCAAATTGGTTATGACAAACGACCAGTTTTATTGATCAATCAGAACATAAATCGCATGCAAGTCAGCAGGAGCAGGTTTTGTTTTACTATAGCAAATCAATAGAAACTAACCTGTCCAAAACCAGAACCAGGGACGACGACAACTCCAGTGGCATTGAGGACACGCTGACAGTAGAAAGCATCAGGAGCCTTTTTAGCAGCCTCAGCAGCTTTGATTGCCTTTTCAGGGAGGCGAATACGGGGAAAAAGATACATTGCCCCTTCTGCTTTGTTGCATGTCACACCCTCTAGTTTGTTGAATGCTTCTTCCAGTGTCTGAGTCAAGAACATAAATCCAAAAAGATAGAACCATCAAGCATAAGTAGATAAACAAGGGAAACAAGGATAAAAGTAGGGTTGGTGACAGTCGCTTTGCAGTGTTGGACACCCCCTTTAATATCATGTTTGCACAGAAGATTATGTGAGATGAAGAAAGAGAAGAAGCTAAGAAATTTTGTTGAAATATTACTCTTTTGGCATGATTAATATACAATCATCAACCAGAATTAGTAGAACTAAACTCCTTTTTGGGTAACTGACCTTTGCACGCCTAGCAAGAGAAGATAGAATGCCATCTCTCTCTGCAATATACGACTCATAGGACTCATCTCCAACCTGCAGCCATCCATTGAAATTCACCAAGTGTCATATGGGAAATGCAGTTAATGCTAGAAATAGTCTCTCGAGTTTCATGCCCACATTCTCAAAACAAAATGTTTGTATCGTAGCATATTTAAAAATAAAGTTATAAGCCTAGTATCACATTGTTCACAGTAAATACAAATGAGATCTGCCGCTACTGACATGCCTTCCCAAGTCACAGACTCAACTTGCTGATCCATCTAATGTGTTTCTACATGGTTCTCAGGTTGAGTTCGTTCTGAACAAGCTAAAACCATAAAAAAATTTGGCGAGGCAAGATTGAAAACAGTGCAGAACATTCTAGAGCAAGTGTAACAGCTTAGCTTCCAATCAACCTCTTGCTCTCACTTAAGCCAAAATGGGTCAGTTTTACTGATTACGGTGTTGTTGGAGGGACAATTGATTTGACTTTAGAGAAGCAAAGAACTAACCTTGGGAGGGCTCATGACCAGGCTAGCAAGAATTTGACCTGAGATATTTGAACAAAGATTCACAGAGGCCACCTTGTATATCTGTTCCCTCACGTCTGCAGAAAACCCAGTCACCTCCATATAACCTCCCCGTTTCCCACACTCTCCATAATAGCCTGGAATCAATGAGAAAGACATTATGCATTGGTATCGATCATATTGCGATGATTGTCTGTCTATTCTTTCCTTTTGTTGAGATAAACGATTTCTTTTACCAACTTGCCTTTGGAAACTGATTGGAACGATACCAAGGATATATCATCCTCGCCATAGCCCATAGATCGAGATACCTTCTTGAAAGAATGAAATTTTTTCTCAGGAACATAAATATTTTCTTGATACACCTGCAAAATGATATATGTTTCAGTTAAGGTGTCATGCTTTTGGTTAAAAAAAAAAAAGTGTCATGCATTTGTAATACTGTACAAAATTCTCCCGAAAAAAAAAAAACCCAGTTACCTCATCAGCTAAGAGAACCAAACCTTCTTCCTTGCAAAATTTCACAATGTCCCGCTGGTTTTCCTCAGCAAGAACCTACAAGGCATGACAGAAAATCCACGTTTTATTATTTAGCAAGCTTAGCTTCAAACCTTGAATACTCTCTTGTATTAATATTACTAATTTCACTGCAATTCACCTGCCCAGTTGGGTTGCCCGGATTTATAACGACCAAAGCTCTAACACTGATGCCCTTGGATTTGGCAGTCTCCAACTGGCTCTTGAGCTCAGGTATTTCCAAACCCCAACCAGATGCTTCATCAAGATAATAAGGTACCTTCAAAAGAATAATGGCAAAGTTATCCAACAATACTAATCTAAGAAATAATAAAACACAATTTACATTTTTTTTTCAATTTGAAGGTATTCCTAGCCATTCAAACATGCAAGAGTGATTTTTCTCATTGACTTGTTCAAAGATGACCTATATAACCCTTTCATATCAGCGCAATGGAACACATCAAAATATCAGTCTAATTTAAAACATGTATTCATCTCGCATGGGTAAAGACCTACCAAAGTGCCGCCATGGAGGGCAATTGAAGCTGAGTACAGAGGGTACTGAGGGATGGGGCACAAAATACCATCTTTTTCTGATCTTATGAGTAATTGCATCATCATATGGACCTGGCAAAATAGAAAAGATAATAATTTATTCAAATTGAAAATAAAGTCAGACCCTGGTGCTGCCATTCACCAAAACCCTCAGTAAATGAGGGCTCAAAAACCCCATTATCCAAGTCCACTAGGAAAACACTTCAGGAAAAATTTAAAGTTGAGTTACCGCTGGGCTTGCAC